AAATCTTAAAGGGTAACAGAAAAAGAGGAAGACCAAAGAATAAACTGCATCGGGAATTAGAAGCTTACATCTAAAGGATGAATAGCAAATAGAAACAAGTGGAAAAAATTTCCGACGAGAGAGTTGGATGGAGGATGTTAGTAGGTAACCTTTGCTCCTCCATAAGGAGTAATAGGCGTAAATAAGTAAACGTAAATGTGAATTCATATGAAAATACATCGTAACACAGAATTTATTCATCATGAATAGACTGATATGTATTAAATTTGATTTTCAATACATAAGAGTTACTCAAATGATTGAAATTACCGTAGTTTTTTTCTGTATATTGGAATATTGTACTCTATAAAAATACTCACTCATCTATTTCATCAATGAAGAATATAATCATTTGAAGTTATTAAGCAAATAATAACATTCAAATTAGGTTATTTTATTCATAAATACTTGACAACGATTATACGAAGATAAGTATAAAGACTACCAGTCTTCAGTCCTCAGTAATAAGGATAGGTCTCTCGACCTATATTAATCCTTGCAGTCTGTAATACTATGGAGGTCCAATCTCGTTTTGAATATATTAACAGAAAGTGCTGATATTACGTGTTCCGGTAGAGAATTCCAGTAATTCACTACTCGGTGCGAGAAACGAAACTCCAAACGTAAACGATTTGATCTCGGTTTTGAACTTTCTTCGAATGTCCTCTAAAATGATCAGTCTTGGACGGGAGTAAAAGATAAGATATGTTAATACCACGGTCATCGTTCAGTATACGATAAGCCAATATTAGATCAACCCGTACTCTACGGTAAGATAACGGAAATACGTTGAGGTGTCTCAGTCTGTCTTCATAAGATAGGTCAGATAGACCTTGCACCATCTTAGTACCTCATCGTTGGATTCTTTCCAGCATCTCTGCTTCATACTTGAAACAAGGACTCGCTGCTTGAATCCCATATTCTAAATGTGGTCGCAAACCTATAATAGTTGACAAATTTAATTTTACATCTAATACACAAGATTAATACTTTTAAAAATTTCATTATGAGACTTCTATCCAAATCTCGACTATTCAAAGTTTTCTTTACTGGGGATATAATGATTAAGTTCAACTGTAGCTTAGATAATCTGGTGGTTATATTAATAGATTTCTTAAGATTTAAAAGAGAAAAGTTGGATGTAGGCATGAGTGCAACATGAAGACACCTATAAAAAGACCATGGTATAGTGTAATATAATTCAGTCATTAAATGTTGATGATTGGATTCTAATCTGGATTTTTAAACTTATCATATTCTTGGTAAGAAAAGATGGTTGATGGGTCAATATTGTCAAATTATACATAGCTAAGGTGATATACTTTCTATGATTGATCGATCATGAAGTAATGACCAGTGTTATGTTTGTATATTGTTTTGTTGCTAATTAAATGCTCTCGGTCATGTTAAAATGTAGCCATTAATTAAAATGACTTCACACTACATAGACGATGCTGTGAAGCCACATGACGCGAGTTTAAACCTCTTAGGGAAAGTCCGTTACCTCCAGATTACCAATACACCTTGTTGTTGAAGGACAGTTTACATGAATAAAAAAGTTCAGATTTTTCTAACAACTACCTCCGACCACCTTACATCGCAACACCGTGTATGAGATTTCGGATCCTTTAAACTAGTGACGATATTGCAAATTGATTAATAGGGTTTGAACACAACCAATGAACCAGATAAACAGGATACCGACTATAAGTGATCAATCAACTGTAAATATTTCAGTTCTACAAGATGTCAGTTGTGACCCAAATACCTTACTACTAACCTCTTAGAGTATGAAGTTGGGTAAAGTGGATCGGATTTCACCAAGAAGCGTCAATCGTCAAAAAATGATAAATACACCTTATTGATGAACGCTAACTAGTATAAAATCTAAGTCATGGATTTCATTTCGATTACCTACAACTGCGGAACACATCTTTACTTTATTTTTTATCTGATTCTAGATAACTTATGATTGTTTCAATTATCCTATTCAAACAGTTATTCAGTATTCAGTTTAGATGGGGGTTGGAAGTAGTCGACAGAAACCCTGGATCTAGGTTTTATGTTACCTTGGCACTCATCAGCAAGGTCTGCCTGTAATTTTGAGGAAATTAATGCTCCCTGAAGGATTCGATCCCATGTCAACCAGATTCACAGTCAGAAAAGTTATAATTGGGCTATCCAGGCCATGACTGATCTGTTGTAGGACTGAGAGATCATATGGTGGAAAGAAAAGTCAATTTTAGAATAATTTACTCATTATGAGTTTTGTTCAAGTTTACTTCCGTTTTGATTCACTGTAATGATTACTCAATGTAGTATTTGGTTTTCTTTTCTCGTATGACGTTTTATTCTGTATAATATACGATATTCTTGTATTCCATTGACATGAACTATGCTCAGTATGTGATTCGTTATAACTGTAAGTATTTTTTGATATATGTGATTTCATCCCAATTTTTAATCAAAATGGGTGTATAATGAATATATAAATGGGTGTATTTTCGACTAGTCATCGTCAAGTTTTGGGGGTTAATAAATCTTCACTTACACCAGTCTTTGTGTTCTTACTTTCGCGTCGTGGGAATTGCAGAGGTACCTCGTTTCGAGTATAAATGATAAGCGTTTCCGATATAACAATCAGCAACGACCAGATATAATAAGTAGCGTTCAATCGACAAGACATATCAAGATGATCACTGGGTGGTGACCAATACCATGTGTATCAGGTACACCTTGGTAATGAGTGCCAAAATAGTAAGAAACCTAAGTCTAGGGTTTCCTATCGACTACCTTCAACCGCAGTTATTTATTTATTTGAACACAAATATTGGTACAGAGGCACCGAATACAAGTGAGCCACATAAGTCACTTGATTTATGTGTAGGCTGAGATGCTGCCAGGGTGCCAAGACCGAAGCAGGTAGTTTTCTCAGGAAGTCACACCCGGAGTTTTCAACCTAAAAGTCTGATTCATAAGACAGTGCAGCAATGTCAAGCAATGCAGTCCCGTAGTAGCCGGTGACCAACGGTTGGTTTATACGCCATTTATTTCCTCAGAATCCTGGATCCAGCCCATGTTACCATTGGTTTGGAATCAGAGGTTTCCAACTCTCTTAGGTGAACCATCCATGTCCACATACCTGGTTAAATCGCCAGACATTCACTTCTCATCCTCTGACCTTTGTAAACAACAGTAATGCCGCGAGAAGGCAATGAATAGTACTTCCCTGGTAGCAGTTGTATACGCATGGTCATTCGAGAGCATTTCGAGGGAGAGAGAGAAAGGGGGGGGAACTAACTCTCCTCACCATCGGTTGTACCATCTCATCCCAGCATAGTGCACATAATATCAAAGTCACCTAGACTAGTGATCATATTACAACTTGATCGATAATATTTGTTCTTCACTAAGAAGGACCTAACACATATAACATTGATCACCACTTAGTGATTAACACAATTGTAAACTATTCCATTTCACATATCAGTTATTTTTTATAAATAAATTAAAACAATACACATTTATAATCAGATTATTTATTTATTATTTTATAATAATGAATTCATTTGAATAAATATTTCACTATTGAATTTTAACATAATGATAACAGTAATAATAATAATAATAATAATAATAATAATAATAATAATAATAATAAAGAGAGTAATGACTTATTATTGTTTTAATAGATCAATTATTATTTTTCATTTATTCACCTATTTTAAACGAACGAATGAACGAACAAACCGAATTGTACAAGAGAAGATTTACAGAAAAAAGAAGTGAATAAGAGAGAAAAGGAAACTTTAAGAGAAAAACAAACAGAAGACTGAATGATTATCAGTCATATTCCCTGTTGTTGGTTGTTTTTTGTTTTTTTGTTTCGGCCATCAAAGAAGAAGAAGAAGAAGAAGAATTTTTTTGTTTATATTTGTCCCATGGATACAATTTGTAGGTGAAATTATATGTTTATGATGTATTCACTAGACTCCTTCATATTTATATTCATATTATTATTACAATATTTAGACATAAGTATTATGCAATAAAAATGTATTAAAATATATAGAGAGAGAGGGAAAAAAAGCGTATGAAACAAATGGTTAGTTACATTATGTGTACTCAGAGTTTGATCATATAAATATATCTGTAGACTAGAGGAAAATTTCGAAGAAAAAACAAACAAACAAACAAACAAGTAACCATGATGAATATAGATTTTATGCTAAATAAAAATAATTTTAAATCACCATACTTTTATTACTCAACAGCCATTCTTATATGTAAGAAAAAAAAAGAAGTCATATTACATAAGGTGCATACACATAGGATTGATTGAGTTGTGCATGTGTATTTGTGTGTGTATGTGTATGTGTAAGAGAGAGGGGGAGGGAGAGAGGGGGGAGGGAATATGGATGATCGTAATAATGGAAAGAAGAAGTTAAAACAGTGAAATATAGTTGTTGTTTTTTTGGAAAAAAATACAGTTGAAAAGATTTTTTTTAAAAACATTGGTAATGTAAACGAAGTTGTGTTTTGTTGCTGTTGTCAATCTCTTCGAAACTATTTATAACAAGTGTAATGCTTCGATAGAGTATTTTTTTAAATATATACATTCAATTAGGTTCTCACTATATATATATATCCATATGTTTTTGTATCGGCTAATAAGGCCTGGCAACAATAGGATCGAAGAAAAACTCACACAAAAAGGTGTCTTTGTTTAGTGAGTTGATGTGATTATGAAATGAATGGTTCACATATCTATTTATATTTATCATTCTATATACACTATATACAATACAGAATCATATTATATTCTTTTCACAAACAATATAATATATAAATATATATATCATACGTTATTATAATTACTATTAGTATTGTGACTACTGTTATTCAAGAGTTTCTGTTATATCTTATCAGTAAGTAGTATATTAAAATATAAGATAAAATGCAATTTGATTACTTTACATTTTTTTTTCTTCAAAAAAAGTGGGAATATTCATCAACTATGTGTGTCTTTTTTTTCCTGGGGGGGGGGCGGCAGGAGCGTTGAGGGATTATTCTAATAAACAACTTATATTGAAACTACGTTTAGATGAATTCATATATGTTAATGATGTTGATGTCGTTATAGATGAATTAATCATATTACTATGTGATAATGTTGATAATGAATGTGAACAATTACAACATAATGAATGATTGAATTCATTTTCACATTTTATTTCATTACAATATAATTGTTCATTTGTTATTATTCGTTTAGAGTTTATAGGATTATTAGAATATTCATTTTCATTCACATATTTAGATTCACTATTCATTGTAATAGTTTTTGGGATACATTGTTTTTTTATAGGCTAGAAATTAAAAGAAAAACAAACAAACAAAATGAAGTAAACAAACAAATATTACCCTTAACTCAGGGTCTGAAAAGTTGGAAAAATGAAAATTTCGCAAATGCAATAAAAATGATCTTAGTGGTCTAGTTATAGTAGTCCGGCACAAGACAATGGGTTTTAAGCATTATTTAAGCCCTAACGCTTTAAGCTGGGCTGTTTCGCTTACTACCCTACATATGTGTTGTATGGAGTATAAGCTATATGGCTATGTAGAGCTGAAGGTCTCATATGAGACTGGAGGTTCGCTATTGGTATTGTGGATAGTTCGGCATTGCTTTGGCAAGTTTTGCTGACTGTTCATGCAAAAGTTGGTTTGCTGGTAAACCGATTTCATCTATACTGATGGTTGCTTTTCAGTGTTCCAGAGGGCCATTATCATTGGGACATTGTAAGGCATGTCGCCATTGTTAACATTAACGAGTTTGACTGTCGTGTAAGCGGAATAGTTCAATTTTGGCCTGTTCGTTCTGTGCATAATTGATTCACGCGATCATTGATGGTCCACCAGGGTGCTTGGTACTTGTGTGGTTGCGCCACACGATTGAGCTTTACTATTCAGATTGTATCGTTAATGCCTATACGGTGTCTGGCTCTCCTGTTAAACGGGGCTGAGCTGTACTTTTTGGGTTGTCACGCGAAAGTCCGGATGGTGTCTGGTTCTCCTGAAAACCAATGTAAAATTACCCTGGCCCACAAGGGTATATTACATAATTGTGAGTGAATGTATCAGAAGAATGATGAAAACTCCATGAACAAACCATCCAGTTTAAAGAATAAAACTCCATCAAAATCATTCACCTGAAATACAAATCTTCTGCATCATCTCAACGTAAGTTTATGTAAGTTTGACTATTATTAAAAACCTAAAAACACTGAACAGCCTCTTCATCTCATTATGGGAATCTTAAGCAGTGTGTATCTATGATTCCTCACACGGTATTCGAGAAGCCGTGACCATTGGAGTCCAATCTGTGTTATGTGTTAGATAGTTATTCATCTCAGATAAAGGATGAAGGATTGTGCAAGATCATGAATCGACTGAAGTTAGATACTGATACAGTTGATCACCGACTCAGTGGTCCACAGATGAAGTGTTCATGCGTGACATTGAACGTCCTAGGTTCGAGTCCTGTGTATGGGACTTGGATGCGCATTGCTGAAGAGTCCCATACTAAGACGAAACGGCCCTTCAATGTTTATAGGTTTTCAATGGTCGTCTAGCACAATCGACTCATGAATCGAACTATTAAAATATCAAATTAGTTAATATTACATTTATGAGTAAAACTAATAACGATGAGTTAATAAGATTTAAGATTTTTGTGAGAAATTCAATATTCAATGAAGGTCAGGACTAAGAGACAATTACTTTTATCTAGTTTCTAAAATACTTCAAACTAAAGAAAAAAAGGATATTTCTTGCGTAACCATACAATGAATTTGTTATGGTGTACAAGTTCAATGATTAAAAAGAATTCCTGATTCAAAGTACATTGTAGATTCAGTGCATCATTTACTAATGAAGAAAATGCATTGGATTAATTCAATGAAATATCTTAAACATAGTTCTTAACTTTAACTTATGACCATGGCACAACTTCCAACACCTAAGCCATTTTCATTTACAATAATAAGTAATTTACTACTTAAAGATTTATTGATCGAATCAAATTATTGATTCATTGAAATTTAATTACTTTTGATTGTAAATTACCGCGTAAATAAATACTGTCACTGATTGGTTGACAATTTGGTTAAATTGATGATTTTCAGTAAAACAATGACATTCTTTGAGGTACTGGGTGAATACCAGTTTATCATTTCAAAGTGTTATCAGAATATATTTTCATTTAAAGTTAAACAGATGGTTATTGATACCGATTCAAACTCAATGATCTCTACAACTCTATACTGATAATTATCATGTGCACACTAGTAACTGGCTTCAAGATGGATTTCGTAAAGTTCTAGCGGGGAGCCATGACTAGTGGAGTTCAACCGTGTCTGCTGGGAGGCAGTTACTTACTGAAGACAATGGTGGACGGTGGCCCATTATCGCGGATTGGTTGAAGTTAAACATTAACACCGTTGGATGGCAACTTAATTGTCTAGAGGTTTAAAGTTGACGCGTGAGGCCGAAGGCCCTGGGTTCGAGTCTCTTGTATGGGATCGTGAATGAACACTACTGAGGAGTCCCATACTAGGACGAAACGGTCGTCTAGTGTTTATAGGTTTTCAACGGCGGTCTAACAGAGATCCATTCATGATATTTATTTACTTAGTTAATCGAACACACAACACACAATTTGTATTTTGACATTCTTCAGATAGATATATTTGTGTAAAGTTGAGGAACTTATTTCGTTGATCCGATTCAAGTTTATTTTATTCATCATCATCATCATCATCATCATCATCATCATCATCACATCAGAGATACTATCAATGAATTGTTATTCAGAAGGCTAATAACCTCATGCAAGACTGGTATTTTCATAGTAATTACTCACTTATTTAGTAGTAATCAATGTAGTACTGTCATATGGATTAGATTCTCAAGTGAAAGACAGAATCTCTTGACAAATGACCTCAAATAAAAAACATCAAGTGTTATTTACTTTGATGCTTAATTCATACATTCACAAACAATTCAGAGATTGAACGTAAGAATTTCAGACCTCACAGTGATCACTGAGTATGAATACAATAGATCATATTTTTAATTTATGATTCAAATGTAATTTTCATCCGAAGTTATTGAAGAATTTCTGTTTATCTTATTGAATTATTCCATTAAGATTCATATTTTAAAAAATGATAATGCTATAGTTTCAATTATTTTTTCTGGTTAGCGTTGAAACCCTTAAGGGAAGCAGAAAACAGGAAAGCCAAGGAACGCATTACTTCGGGAAACAGAATCAAATATGAAAAGGATGAATAACAACTGGGAAGAGCTGGAAAGGATTGCCCAAGACATAGTTGGATGGAGAGTACTGGGGGGCGGCCTATGCTCCTCTACGAGGAGTGACAAGCGTAAGTAAGTAAGTATTGCTATAGTTCGAAGTGAATGCATTCGAATTCTAATTGAATGGTTTATGCAAATTTTATTATGTTTCGAGTTATGAAAGTTCTTAACCATCTAGGGTCAACAGTGAAAAAAAGTGAACAGGGTCAAATGACAGTTGAATAATTATTCAGTGTTAGTTAATTTTTTTTTTACTGTTTCTTCAAGTGATTTCATTTCCTGATGAAAATTACTATAAGATTTAACTTGGTAACACATTTAAAATGTATCTACAATATGTAACTAGTAAATATAAACAGTGTAGTTAATTAAAGTGAACAATACCGAACTATTGATATATAACACTTAATAATAAGTAGAAGTTCCGTGATTTCTAGATTAACCATAGAACAAACAGCTAAGAGGTGACTCAGTGTTGAACTTATTGCAACTCTATCAGTTTGTCTATAGAAATAATTAATAAATCTGAATTGGACATTGAGAGTACATCGTAGAATTAGCTCTTTCAGATAAGGTGTTTGTTTTCAGTTCTCTCTTTAGAAATGTTTGTAAATGTGGCTATTCAGATTTAATAATGATTTTTATGGAGTAAAAGTTCCACGTTATCCTAATTACTTTAGATTGATATAATGAATGGATCACTGTTAGACTACCATTAAAAACCTGGAACCACTGGATGGCCATTTCGTCCTAGTATGAAACTTTTCATCAGTGAGCATCCACGACTCAAAATGTAGGAATCGAACCCAAGACCTCCAGTCTAGGACGTGAACCTTAAACTTATAGACTTGATTCGTTTTAAAATGAACTTACCGAACAGCATAATTTGGATGCATTTGAATCTTTATGACTCTGTAAGGAATTACAATCTTCTTGACAATATTTATTCATCTCATCATATTTACGTTTTAAATTATCTGAGAAAAGTTGTAATTCCGTTATTCCCTCTCCTGTTTCTCCGGCTAATCCAGATATTCTATCGAAAACAGATGTAGTTAGTGTTGAATACGGTAATGATTGACTTGATTTTGATGTTGATGTTGTTGTCATCATCGTCGTTGTCGTCTTCGTGTTGGTGGCATCAGTGAATACTGATGGTGTTCCTACTAACGGAGATGATAATCCTGATGTTAATGATGATGTTGGCTTTGATGACAATGATATAAGTGTTACTGTTGAAGATGGTAAAGTAAAGGAATTATTTGTTGAAGATGACATTTCATTTATATCGTGTAATCTGTCAGTTTTATCCATAAGTTGTTGTTGTCTTTGATGTTGACGTTGAAATTCCATAGAATGATTATTTTGTATTTTATTGAAAGAATATTCAATTGATGAGGAGGAAGAGGATGATGACGAGGATGACGATGATGATGATTTAGATATTTTTGGACAGTAATGTACTGTATGTTGACTTCGTGGTAGATTTGTTGATATCAACTTTGAATTCAATGATGTTGGATCAAAATATCCTATTGAAATGAAATGTTTAAGAATGAATTAAGTTTCTTTTAATAAACAGTATTATTAGTAGTGTGCAATGGTAGATGTATTAATAATTGGACAAATACAAAAATATCATTGTTGAGCATCGATACAAAATGAATTAAAATAAAGGTGTTTGATTTTTATGGTTCAGATCATGGACTAATCATTTAAATAATTATTAGCAAAATGTAAGCATTAGAGATCTATTTCATCCTAATACACTGCTACTCATCAGTAAGCATCTACAACTTCTACTCAGTAGTACAAAGTTTATGAGCTGTTCATGAAGCTTAAATGTTCGGGTTTCTATCTCCGATGAGACTACAATTTGTGGATGACCTTTTAATGAAGATAAAGTAAACTTGAGAAAAATCACCTATTTACTAGTGTCAAAAAAGAGTATAAATTTATGAGGAATTAAGATTGGGATTAACAGTTAGAAATTTGGGATTGAATTCAGAGTTAATGTTCTCATCACGAACTGATATTAGTTATAATGTCAAAATGCTATTTAATCATATGAACGAATGAACTTCACATTGAAATCCAAGATTTGTTATTTTTAATTTCATCGGTTCATTCATAAATTATAATCTTATCCTATCGCCAGTAGTGGGATCATGAATGGGTACTAATGATAAGTCCTTCACTGGGACAAAGTAGTTTCCCGGTGATTCGTTGTTTTCAGCCTAGCCTCAAATTTAACAAAATGTTTGGTTGGAATAGTAAATTGTGAATTGATCTGGCAACCAACTACAGTAGTCATTGAATGAAATGAGAATAACATGATGTATTTTTGACAGTGGTTTATTTATTTTATAATCCATACTTACTGGAATTTACAAATGATTAATCACTGAGCAATGAGTAATGTTATATCAGTCTAGTCCTTAATAATGATCGAATTCTATCGACTATTATGTGATAAAGTTACTAGGTTAAGTTACTCGATGACGCATTCCCTATGCTGAGATATTAGCAGATTCGAGATAGTTTACAGACAATCCTAGACTTAACTCTAGTCGGATTAATTATCTGGTGGTCACACTGCAACCTCGTTGACAGAATTCGATTATTATTATTATTAAGGATTAGATAAACATCACATTGATCACCATTCAAGGACCAACTGATTTTAAATATCTCAGTCCTACAAAAGATGAATCATAGCTCGACTAATTATGTGATAACTTCTTAGACTTTGAGTCTAGGTGACATGAATTGCTGTACTACAGAGAACGGCAGTTCCATCAAGATTGTAGGTATACCTCGTAGGCCAGTGCAGCAAGAACAGAATTGACGTCAAACATTTCTTGTCGAATACCTCCATATATTCAAAACTCTCTGAAATGTATGTATATGTTATTGACGAAACTCCTAGAAAATGATAAAATTATTATTAATTATCACCAAACAGAATTCAATTAACCTCAGATATTAACAAACGAATGTAACTACTCTAAGACATTAATAATACTTACCTGACCATAGTGGATAAGGTAATGACAAAGATGGAGATGATAGATCTTTTGTAGTAGATAATTTATCAACTGATAAATTACAAAATGATAATGATGATAATGGTGATAAAGAATCAACTGATTTATTATTATTACCACAGTTATGCAAATTGTTGATTGAATATAATGAGAATTGATCTGATGAAGTGTAAGATAAAGAGTTAGATAATCCACAAAATAATTGATTCGGTGTTGATATAATCGATGATGATGCATTACAAATGGGAGTGGAAATTGAAGAACAATGGGAAGATGAAGAACACTTTATATCTAATCCATGATTATTATTGTTATTATGTAATAATGACAATCGATTTGTATATATTGGATGATTTATTGAATTCGGAAACGAAAACTTAATATTTTCATGTGTTTTGTATAAATCAATTGAACGTTTTCTTAACATATCCCTTTCAATACCATCTAGATCATCATAAGTATCAACAGAATTTATCGGCTGTTTGTAACGTAATCGTAAACCTCTGTAAAGATAAAGGAAACAGTGATTGACTGATATGTACAATATAATGTTAACAACAGATATCAAATTATCTGTTAGGATGTGTATGTTAATGTTATGAAATACAGTTTATCTTTGTAAACAAGTTGAAATATGAATCTTGGACTGCTTTTCTCTTCTGTATTAAATTTTACTAAAACTTTGTGTCTAAATAACAATATCAAGACATTTCACTGAAAATCCCCATATCCAAACAAAGATTGATTATGAGTCAATTGAAGCTAGATAACCATGGAAAACCTGGAAGGATTGGACAACCACCTTGTCCTAGTACGGGACTACCCAGCAGTGCGCATCTACGACCCCGCCTCGCGAGACTCGAACCCGGGACCTACCAGTCTCGCGCGCGAGCGCTTACCCTCTATAAGATTGAGCTGGCTGGCGTCCAGCGGTGTTGATGTCTAACTTCAACCAATCTACGAAATTGAGCAACACATCCACTATTGTCATCAGAGAGTTACAGTCTCACAACTGACCCGGTTGAACTCCACTGGTCACTGCTTCTCACTAGAACTCCAGGATATACATCTTGAAACCAGTCACTAGTGATCTGTATTGATTAGTTCCACAATAGGACGAAACGGTCGTCCAGTGCTGCCATGTTTTTTATGGTGGTCTAGCTTCGATTGACTCATAATCTCAACTATTGAAACTACTACAATCTCTACAAAACCCCTTCAAAGACTGATTAGTTACAGTCCTTAACAGTAACAATGGGAAAATACAATGCGTCAGAAAAATAATTCATACCAGTTGTACAAACTGGTGAAATTGGCTTCTGAAACTAAAAATTCTGGGTTTAAGTCTTAGTGTGAGCGTCAATACTGAGATTCAGTTACAGCTAATTAAGGAGTTTCAAATAGGATGAAATTTTTTTCCTGAATTACACTACTAGCTGTTATTCAAATAGGTAATTTTTGTAAATATTTATCTAATTTCATAAGGGAGCTGGTCTACATTGTAAATCGATGTCAATTCAGGGAATCATTGTAAACTAGAGAGAACATCATAGTTGACTTCTTAACAATAAATACACATGCTTATATAGTGGATTGTGGTGTTGAATATCGTCGCTTCAGATAACTTAACTAAAACTATATACATAGATGCAAATCACTTTGACTATCTGACTTTCAAAAATTGATAACTACTAAGAGTGGTGTTTAACAGACTTCATGTTCAGTGTAAATTTCAATTAAGCTTCAGAAGGGGTTTTGTGGAGGTTTTAGTAATTTCAATGGTTGAGATTATGAGTCAATCGAAGCTAGACCACCATGGAAAACTTCGAAGCACCGGACAGCCGTTTCGTCTTAGTGTGGGACTCCTTAGCAGTGCTCATCCACGATCCCGCCACCCGCTAGATTCGAACACAGGACATATCAGTCTCATGCGCGAGGGCTTAAGTTTCAGTCAATCAAGCAGAAAATAATAATAACTCATGATGTTAAATAGAGTTCGACAGTGACTAATATTAAAATCCAGGAAGTGCATTTTGTCATATTTAGGACTTATCAGCTGGATATACTTGCTGCATCCCAGTGAAACTTGAACCTGATAAGTTCCACTTCAAATGCTTAGTGTGCTACCTACCGAGCTATTGAGTTCAGACAATCACAGGATTATGCAATAGGACTCGTTTCCGATTGTTTCGTAACGGGATTTTCACATTTTCACGTTGTTGTTATTGTTGTTAAGGACTGAAATCGATCAGTCATATTTTTGGTCTGTATGGATCCAGTGTGGATGGCTTCAATGCTGTAATCAAATCATAAGTATTTTAAAAAAGTAGAGTTGGATTAATTTTACAATTATAATAAAACAGTCATGTGATATCAGAAGGGGATTTTGTGGGGATTTTAGTAATTTTATAGTTGAATTCATAAGTCAATTGAAGTTAGACCACCATGGAAAACCTATAAGCATTGGATGGCCGTTTCTTTCTAGTGTGAGACTCCTCAACAGTGCGCATCCACAATCCAATGGTAAACGATGGCTTAATTTCATGGATTGGTTGAAGTTATACTCTAATACCGTTGGATACTGGCTCAGTGATCTATAGATTAAGCATTCGCGCGCGAGAATAGTAAGTCCTGGATTCGAATCTCGTGGGACGGGTTCGTGGATGCCCACTGCTGAGTTCGTTTTATTTATTCAATTTTTAATTGAATAAGTTAATTGAATTCGAAATTTTATGAACTGGTTATTAAAAATAAATTTTCAAAGTCATCATAAATAAGACTCTAGTCAGAAAAGAATTATAACCAATGTGTACTTTATACTTTCCAACTGACATGAGTTTATGATAGGAATTTTATCCTTTGAAACATCTATCCAATGTTCTTTTTTTGTATTTTTCATGGTACTCGAATTGTGAACAGTTTAGCATAGTAACTAATTACAAATTTTCATAAAATCCCTTCAAAGGGATTTGTTCAGTTGTATAGATTTATTCAACTTGTAGTGGATTGAAATCATTGTCATATCAAAAATTTCTTTATATGGTTGAATATTTAAATAAATAAATCTCAACTTAGTGATATAATAGTAACCTGTTTGCCAAAAAGAGCGTATTAATACTGGATTGGATACATGTATGTTTACTATTGAGGATTCCCATAATAAGATGAAATAATTATCTAACAATCTCAGGTGTTGTACCTCTACCACCCCCCTTCACAACCAGAAGGGAGAAATTGTTTAAGAATTACAAGTATTAAGTTATTAATTGGTGGATTCAGTTCAATTAGATTCAAAATCCAATTTAATTATTTAGATTTTGATAACCAGATTGTGGAATTAATCGTCAAGCATGTATAACAGCTCAATGCTCAATATAATGACTTGTGTTTAGTAAATGTGATACATTCATAAAGTTGTAATTGAATTAAAATGGTATTTTTGAGAATAATTTATTCTTATTAAAAGAGGCTTGTAGAATTTGTTCAATTTTCAAAGTTTACACTATGAACTAATCTTAGTTTGACAATTATTGGAAATCAAAAAGTAATGAACTGCTGTTTTATCTAAGTAAGGAAAGTTTTATCAATCTGCATCGATTATGTAAAACGATTTAAACTCAGTACCTTCGGTCCTGCGTAGGAATGCCTAAACTTTAGACCACTGAAACAGTATCTAATGGTAAGCATTTCTAAATTTAATAAATTTGTGATATTGTGTTATCATCTAGTTATTGCAATGAATGACTGTTTCATGCCTTACGCGGTTGAACTCCATTAGTCACTGTTGCTCGCTGGAACTTCGGGAATTTCATTTTGAAGTTGGTCACTAGTCAGTACATAATTTTTATTGGTCTAGTAGGCATTGTGAGGATTTATATATTTATTTAAAAACATAAATACTGGTACAAGGAAGCACCAAATACATATGCGCTGAAATATTGACCGGGTTTCCAAAGAGAAACAGGTAGTTTCCTCAGAGAAATACTCTCAGAACCTTTGACCTAAAGGTCTAATCCACAAGGCAGTGAAGCAATATCAGAAGATGCAGTCCCATGGTAGCTGTGGACTAACAATAAGTTCATACGCAATTCATTCCAACAGGATCCTGGAGCCCATGTGCACTACTGAGAAGTCCTATACTAGAACGAGACGGTCATCCAATGCTTCCAAGTTTCCGACGGTGGTCTAACATCAATCAGTTCATGATCTCAATCAAAAACTTAATAATCTCCACAATACCTACACTGAATACTGATTTTAGTTAGATGATACCTTAGCATTCATGGTGAGATTGAAAGTTTTGAATAGGTTCAAAAATATCTACTACTTAAAAGTCTTATACTTGAATAAGATATTTGTTCATTGTTTCCAAGTTTTTAATAGTTAACTAATAATGATCAATTCATAGTGAAAAATATAAATAATTCATTTCTTAATTATCAAATTAGTGTTAATATTTAATTCAATTTTTAAATGAATTGTATTTATTAAGTTATATATATATATATATATATATATATATATATATATATATATATATATATATATATATATATATATATATATATAATGATGTTAATAATATAATACAATACAATCCAGTGATTGTACTCTTCAAGTGGTATCGTTTTTGGCTTTGTTTAAATAATAATACTACTAACAATAATACTACTACTACTAACAAGAACAATACTACTAACAATAATAATAGTAATAATGAACGATAAAAACATAAGAATTAAGGTGTGGTATAATGTATTCTTCAATCTTAAATAGAAAGATTATCAATTCCGCCTACTATAAATGAATGATTATGTAGTTCAATCAGAAGAATCAGATTATGTCATTTAGATATGAAATCAAATTTAAAGAGAGAAAAGAGAAAGAGAAGAAAACCTCCGAATATGAATAACAATGAATAGAAGAAATATATTTAGTAAATATTACCTATCATTGGATTTGTATACATTTCCAAGAATTAAGGGCGTTCTTGATTTTTTTTGTTAGTAAATGATATTGAAGAGATTTGTTTTTGTTTTTTCTAACTGGTGTGGCTTAATTTTATAGCTTTGGTCAGTCAGTAACAATGTAGAACTTCGTACGTACGTATATCAGTTCGAGTTGACATACCACATTAGCACAGAAATACAATTGTCGATTCAAATCCCATAGTGGTAGAGGTAGTAAAAGTACACGCAGTAATCGGAAACATTATGGTTTGAAGATGTTATTCAAGGAGTATAATCCAGTGAGATAAATTTGGAAAGTGAAAAAGAAAAGGGACATAAAGAATACAGAAGATTAGAATTTAGGAGGACACAAAGAGTGGATGCACCTGCACTATTGCAAACAATTTTAAGCCATGTCATTCAGACCATATGAAGAACTTAATACTCTGATCCCATTGATCTGACATCAAACAGTTCATATTCCGAAGTTTACTTAATCAATGTTATTGTTTTACGGGGAACTATCGTTATGAATAAATAAATCCTTTACTATTGAAATCAATGAAATCTACTGATCATAGCTTTGCGATGGAGATTTTCAAATTCTTATTGAAGTTAGAATGCATTTTGTATTATTTGTTTGAATCTTCCCATTGATGTTTGGAACAACAATTAATCAGTCTTTTATTGGCATATGTGCATCCTGTGTGGATCGCCTTGATATGGCTTTAAGTCACAAGCATTATAAACAATGATTAGATAGTGGTTAACAATAAAATCAAGGACGTGCGTTCCACCCTGTTTGGAACTTGTCAACTGAATGTACCTGCATCCAACAATTGATGTTCACTCCAAGACTAGAAATCAGTACCGTTTGCTTCAAGCGCCATTACATTATTGATTGAACTATTGAGTCCAGATAGCCACTAGCTTGTGAAATAAGGTGTAGATACATCCAGCTGACTAGTCGTAAATAGGATGAAACCCGTGTCCTGGATTCTATTGTTGCCACCATCCATCTTTACTTATAATACTTCTTGAACCTAGTCATTCCTTCGCATATAAATGTTAATACAACGCATCATAAGCGCATATTTAATCAAAACTAAAATTAATGATACATATAGACTGAATACATATTAAAATAAAGGGTTGACTTACTTCTTTTCACGACGCCCACTACCATTGTCTCGAAATCCTTTAGCAAATGGATTATTATCAATTTTTAATTGAGTGATCTAAAAGAAAACGGAAAATAGATCAATAAAATGCATATACAAAATTAATAGTGAAAATAATAGTGTGATGTATACTACTTATGTCAGCATGAGTAGTGAGTTGGATAACTGTCTCCATCCAACACTAGTTCAAACGAAACATGTAAATGTATTGCAATATCTGTACAGTCAAAAAAACAGACGTTTCTGGAATTTGAAACAGGTCATCTCGATAAGGTGACAAATTTGATTAGTAGAATTTTGTTATGAAACGCACTTGATAACCAATAAAAGAAAGTTTATGATAGATTTTACAAACAACGTTTTTAATTGACAAACTGCCTTTAAAACAAAACAAAATGAAGATATTTAAGTGAAGAAAATTCTCTTCACCATGATATCACTTACTAGAGTTGTGCAATAGTGTTTATAGGTTTCTTTTTACATCTAATGGTTGGTAATAAAAACAGAGAATGATCGCATCACTAAAAGAGGTTCTAAAAGTTAATCAGAAGTTAAAGTTACATAATAGTTTAACAGTAATAAGATTACGCCAACATACAGAAAAGAGATTTGAAAGATAATTATCTACGCTTGATGATTATAGATAGATGAAGAAGAAGGAAACAAACACGTGTCAAGAAATGACTAACAGAATATGAAGGTATATTATTAAAACTATAGTTCATTAAGTGATTGGATATACTAATTCTAAACACAAAGATCAAGTCCGAATCAATTAGTTACCAAAACCTCCATTATGCATCAGTTTCTTATTCGATTTCCTTTCGAACAAGGTCATCATTAAAGATTTTTTTCAAATAATGTTAAGTAAGATTTTTGTCTTATTCAACTTATGTATTCAATATTCAATAGGAAGAACCAATTTTAACTGAAGTTTCGTGTTAATTAGTACTCGTCAACAGTTCTGTAAGAACTAGTTGATATTCTATGAAGAATTCTAACCCTAGTAATCTATTATCACATCAAAGATGTTACTATTACGACCAATGTTGTGTTCATCTAATCCTTCAATGATAATTGAATATTATCAGTCAATTTATAGTATGAACATAAGTTTAAATGACTTGAGATTGCATGTATTATATTAAGACGTTAGGTAGTTAAAGATACTCAAAATAAAACCGTGTTGTTCATACTAGTTTATATTCGTTAGCATACTATACCTGTAATCTTAAGTGAACTGATGACCTCTAATAGATTCAAATACTTTTTACTTAATCACTTAGTTATTTTTACTACTACTTAGATATTTAGTGATATTTACCATGTGTTAACTAGTGAATTCTCGGAGTTCTAGTGAGAAGCCGTGACCAGTGGAGTTAACCCATGTCGGATAGAGACAGGTATCTACCATAGTACAATGGAAGATGTTCGCGTAATTTCGTAAATTGGTTGAAGTTAGACATTAACACCATTGGATGCCGGCCGTCTCAGTGGTCGAGTAGGTTAAACGTTCGCGTGTAAGACTGAAGGCTCTCGATTCGAATCCCGCGCATTACTGAAGAGTCCGACAATGGGGCGAAACAGCCGTTTAGTGCATCCAGGTTTCCAATGATGGTCTAACATCAATCGCTTCATGATCTCGATTATAATCAATATTTTTTTTGTAATTAATAGATGTAATTGTTTATCATGTGGGTTTTTTTTTAAAAAAAATCTGGCCAAATATTACGACAAACCCCATCGTATTAACTTAGATTTTTATACTGATTCTCATTTGTCGGTAAGTCTTTTTTTCCTTTTTTTTAGAGAAAGACAAGTAAAGAAGAGAAAACTAGTCCAACCGTTTCATTTTAAGTTCTTACATTAAAACAACAACAACAACAATAACATCAGATTATCAAAATGAAGATGTTCTCTTCAAACAAGAAAAGCAGAAAAAAATTGTCAAAATAATTAAAAAAATGAATGAAATTTATCAAGAAAAAGAAAAGAAAAAAAAGAAAAAATAGAGAGAAAAGAAAGAAAAAAAGAAGAGAAAAATATAATTATTTATTCTGATAAGAATTTCCCTGTCTACATCGTTATTTAGTTGAAACTTTTTCTTAAGTTATTTATGAAACATGAATCTTCAATTGTAAATATTTATTTATTTATTTATATGTGGGTGTCATGTGATGTGATGTGGGGGCGTGTGTGTGTTCTAGGTGTTAAGATCAACGTTCAAAAACAAAAACAAAAACAAACAAAAAAAGAGAAAAACTATTCATGATAAATATTCAACAAACACGTGTTTACCAAAAAAACTTTTTTTTCTTTTTTTTTCAAGACAAAAAAGAAAAGAAAAGGTAACTGGAATAGATAATAATAATAATAATAATTATTATTATTATTATTATTATTATTATTATTATCATATGATTATCTAGAATACGGGTTATTTGAAGTGAACGAATACGTTTCATTAGACCATTTATGAACGATAATGTCAATAGATCTTTATATTTACATGTGTGTGTATTAAGTGGTGAATAGGGTATACATGAGCACGTGTATGTGAGTATGTGGTTATGTGTGTGTGTGTGTACGTAAACGTGTACTTGTGAGTGTACGTGTACAGTAAAAGTAAATGTGTTTAAAAATGTTCACCTTTTCAGTGGATTTAATTCTTATTTAAAAGGATATTATTATTGTAATATTTGATGTTGAGTTTTTGTTGAACGATAATGTAATATATATCAGAAGGGGTTTGTGGAGATTTTAGAAATTTCACAGATTGAAATCATGAGTCAATTGAAGCTGGACCACCATGGAAAACCTGGAAGCACTAGACGGCCGTTTCGTCCTAGTATGGGACTCCTCAGAAGTGCGCATTCACGATCCCGCATCCCACGAGACTCGAACCCAGGACCTATCAGTCTCGCGCTAGGCGCTTAACCAACTATACCGTTGAGCCGGCATCTAATGATGTTAATGTCTAGGTTGAACCAATCCACGAATTTGCACCACCGTATACCATTGTCTTCAGTGAGCCGATATCTCACAACAGATATATATATATATATATATATATATATATATATATATATATATTCTATATTTTTGTCTGTTCATGGTTGTTACCATTCTTTCATTTAGATGATTCATTCATAAAGCTTTCATTATTCTTCTAAATAACATAATCAACACAAACTTTCGATTAAAATGAGAAATGACAATTCCATCAATTTTGATTGACTGATTAAATTGTCAACCTTAATCTTGATTAATTATTGTTAATGAATATCTCGTTATTATCTTTAGATTATCTTCTCTCCTTCCTCTTTAACTTGATTATTGATCTGATATTTGTATATGGTTTTACTAATTCATTACTAAACTAGATCTTTTCCACTAAAAGAATTCGAATAACTAATTTCTACCCCGAAGTTTATGCTGATAATGTTGTACAGAAGGACGATGAAAGTGTAACGATTAAATCATTAACCTCAGAGAGAGAGAGAGAGTGGGAGAGTGACTTCACTAAAATTATTCACTTTAGCTATAAATTTTCTCTATTATATGAAAAGCTCTATATCAGTTATTAAAAAAACAAACATTAAAATTCGATTGTAGCTATGTCATAATGAACGAAGAGACAAGGGATTTCAGTTATTACACAGAGTAGATGATCAGTTGAGAACTGAATAGCTTATTGATAATGGTTGTAATTATACAACTGGTTGGTGCAAGTTTAAATACCACTGAAAGCAATAGATCTATCAAGTCCTAATCATCATCAAACTTAAATTAAAAAAGGATTTTTTCCCATTAGTTTCTTTCAATTATCAAACATTAAAAGATGGTGAACTCAATACTAAATCAATTAGACTAGTGGCCGCATTGTAATATGATTGATAGAATAAGACATAAATAACATTAGTTATTACTCATTGATCGGTCAGTATGTAGATTAGAATATTCAGCTGATTGATCGTTTAGAATCTAGTGATCAGTCTCATAAAACAAAGTGTTTCAATTATATCAATCGATCATATAATTAGACAATAAATCAATTCACCATAGAATTAAGTTAAGCGATAATCAAATTAAAATAATACTGTGGTATATTTGATGATACCATTACCAATGATCAGTTATTCAATTGTCAATACTTATTTCGAAAGATAAGATGTTAAATGATGTTAATATTAATTCTCATTTTCATCTATTTTACCTTTGAATCTTAAGCGTAGAAACAGGTGTCCAGTGTTGTTACTATCCTATTTTTTAGGTGTCATTCATTAATGAACAATCCAAATTATGATCAACAGTTCAACTTAATAAATTCTCGACGTTATTTTAAACAAAAAATAGATGAATGATTGTACACAAATAAACTATATGATTATTAACATATGGTTTTTGTATTGTGTAAGTTAATAATGGTAAAAATTACCCATAAAGGAAAATGTAATTTTGATTCAAATATTCAATCCAATAATTTTTTTATTTTCCTGGGTTCGAGTTCCTCGTAGGGGATCGTGACTACACGCTGTTGAGGAGTTTCATACTAGGACAAGACAACCATCCAGTGCTTCAAGATTTTCAATGGTAGTCTGACATTGATCAATTCAAAATCTTAATCAAAACTCAACAATCTCCATAGCCCTATATTGATAGTGATTGAGTGTCCAAAAAATAAAAATTGTTTAATGCAAACATAAGACGCCGTTTTAAGTTTGATATTGACAACTATAATGCAAGTGAATTAATAGAATTTAGTCATCACTAAAAGACTAGATAAATATGAAATCGGTCAGTGATCAATCAACTATAGAAGCTCTTTCCTAGAGAGAGGTCAGTCATGGCCTAAATAGCTACAAGTAAGTTCTCAGAGTGTAAAACTAGACTATGTGAATTTGAGTCTCTTTCAGAGTATGAGTCCCCTCTCCAAAGAAATTATCGGTACAGTTTGTTAGCATGTATCAACCAACGCGTAACTTGGGTCAAAGGCTTCATGTTAACCACCTCCATCCACCTACATAATTCAACATGCATTTCTCAAGTCTCAGTTCAACTGACTGTCAACGACGCTTAACTATGAGAAAACACTTAAATAATTAAACTTACTCGTTCATTCTGGTAGGCGGTTACAGCGATGAATTCAGTTTCATCGAAGATAAATGTAACAAAATTGGACATATTCATTTTATTTAGATGATCTGCGCGAACAATATGAAATCTTGGTATATATTTGTGCATTGAATTGAGTACAGCTTGCTGAAATATTATAAAATTTAAAACAATACATCAATATCTCTTCATTATTTAGAAAACATTTTCATATATGTCATTTCTTTTATAACGGAGGTTAACAGATATGAATTTATGTATGAAGTTAAATATGTAAATCACTGGATGCCAACTTAGCGGTCTAGAGGTTGGGCGTTTCGATAAGGGACTGAAGACCTTGGATTCGACTTTTGAATGCAGGGTCGTGAATAGGCATTACTGAGGAGTCTCAGAATAGGGCGGAACTCTCGGTTTCTCATGGTGATATGGTTAAGATCAGTTCGTGATGTAAGCTTTCATTTTAATCAATTTGTTATGGGACATTAAAATGCATGTTGTACATTGAAACATTGAAAATTACAAGAACACTTGAGCATCTTGTTTTTAAGTTATCAGTTTAGTGCGAAAGGTAAGTCTTTATAAGTTTATAATTAATATTTAATGAGAGTGTCGCTTTACTTTGAAATTATAAATAAATGCCGTGGTTAACGTTCAAATAACAGACATATGAATATATTGATTGTAGGGAAAAGTCAGTCGTAATTGGCTACTAACAATGTTTGTGATGCATGCAAAATCTAGAAAAAAGAGTACGTCCACTCACTTATTCGATTTGTCGGTTTTATTCTCTCTCATTCACTCTCCCTGTTTCTGCAATTCAAGTTTGATATTTCAAGATCATCTTGAATACATCAGGGATCTTTTTCAAATTCACCTTTCTGAAACTAAATATAGGTTCAGTGGTCTAAAGATTAAGAAACCCGAGTGTCTTGAATTTTATCCCCGGTTAAACTCATGGAGATGTACTGCTTTGAAGTCACATGCTCAAATGTAACAACTGTTCATTACTTCCTGTATTTCAATGGTCACCTAACTAGAGTTATTGCGTGATACTATGTTTAAAATTTAACAATTATCACAAATTCATACTTACTTTACTTTACTTACGCCTGTTACTCCTCGTGAAGGAGCATAGGCCGCTCACCAGCGTCATAGTGGCTAGCAGTGGAATCCAGGACGCGCGTTTCGTCCTGTTTGGGACTCGTCAGCTGGACGTACCTGCATCTCAGAGTTGATGTTCACTCTGGGACTCGAACTCAGTACCGTTCGCTTCAAACGCCATCGCGTTATCCACTTAGCTACTGAGTCCTACAAATTCATACACTAATATAGAAATGTAAGTTTTAAAACGCTAAAATGCTTCAGCTCTACAACTTAAAGAAATATAGAGAAAAAATCAGAATTGAATAGCACATAATTGGATCATATCACAGTGCTAACCTTAGTACTCGGATGCAATTATATATAGCTGACTAGTTCTAAATAAGTTGAAATGCAAAATATGAACTCCACTATTAGCTACTATCCAAAATATAATTATAGCTTTGTTCTTGATAGTCATATGTGGTGTATACTACTTAGGTTGACAGATATAGGTAGTATGTAAAACCGATCGAAAGTAGAATGCCTGCTAGCAGAAGACTGAGAAGATTCAATGGAAGAGAACAGAAATGTTAACATAGAGTAATTGTAATAACAATTGAAAGAATCATGAAACATGTAAAGGAAAACTGAAGGAACATGTGCAAATAACTTATTGAATTTATGATTGTTAATGTTTTATGACAGCGCTCGGTAATTATGAATTAAAAAATTGACTGGTTTTCCCCACCTGAGTTTACGATCACAACACAAATACTTAACAAAATAAATCTTCGGGGACAAGACCATTATTTCTGGACTAACTAACCAGATATAAGATAACATGCCTTCGATTTTGGCGTGAAATTCATTTATCCATTTGGCTAAATAGCGTTTTGGCATTTTAGCTGATGTCAGTTCGTGATAAAAACCCTAAATCTAATTTCTAACCTTAACCATAAGCTGTAAATCATAATCATAATTCCTCACACTGGTTTACGACCCTTCTTTAACCCTAGTAAGTAGTTGAAAATCCTCAAGGTCACTTTAATGCCGCTCGATGGTCGTCCATAAACTATAGTCTCACCCAAAGCAGACTCAGGAAATGCACTAGTTGTGATTACAAAAGCCAAGATAATAATAATAATAAAATAGCCATAACTTACAAAAGATTGTCTTTCAGCTACATTATTAGTTAATTTTAATTTATGAAATGAAATTGGTTTATGCATCCATTCTTCACCGGTTGTTGGAGAATCTGGATGAATGTACGGTTTACGACATGGTTCTGGATCAGCTTTACCTGCAATTGTCCATTTACCATTTTGAAATTTATATCGATGTTCATCACGTGATACAATATCTAATAACATAATATATTTTGCATTTCTATCTAATCCTGTAACACGTACTTTGAATGATGGAAACATTCGACTGAATATAAGAGAAACAAAACAAAATGTTAACGATAAGAAATACTTTTTTAAAAATGAACATTTATGTAAGCGAAATATTCGGTTAGGGAAAATGTGCAAATAATGTACTTAATGTAAGGTTATCGTATTTTATAAAAACACTCTGCAATTTCACATAAAAGAATAAATTGATTATCCTCACCAAGTCTTTGTTCATTATAGGGTTGGTGATATTTTAATTTAATGGTTGAATTCATGAGTTGATTGAAGCTAGTCAACCATGGAAAACCTGGAAGCACTAGACGACCGTTTCGTCCTACTGCCGGACTCTTCAGCAGTACACATCCACGATCCCACCTTGTGAGACTCGAAACCAGGACCTATCAGTCTCACCAGCGAGCGCTTAACCTCTGCAGCACTGAGCAGGCCAGCATTCAACGGTGTTAATGTCTAACTTCAACTAATCCACGAAATTGACCGGCACACTCACCATTGTCTTCAATGAGTTACTATCTCACACCTGACTCGGTTGAACTCCACTGGTCACTGCTTCTCACTAGAACTCCGGGAAATACCTCTTGCGCACTGCTGAGAAGTCCCATACTAGGACGAAACAGCCGTCCAGTGCTTCCAGGTTTTCCATGGTAGTTTAGGTTCAATTGACTCATGAATTCAACTATTAAATTGCCATAATATCCACAAAAAACCTTTCTCTGATATTTTAATGTTGAACTATAAAGAAATCTAGATGGTCTTATTAAACTTTTGTTCATATAAATTTCTTCCAATTTTCTACATTTTTTTCTTAATGAATCAAGCTTACACGTCAGATCAAGTGTAGATACTTTACTATTCATATTTTTTATTACTACTTGTATTCAATGAATGTGGCTTCGAAAAGAACTGATCATTCATTTATTTACAAAACAGTTCTTTCTTATTAATTTTAAATTGTGTGATATTACGGCGAGACTATAACTTATGGACGAACCAATCAGGTATAGGATAAAAAGTCTCAGATTTTGGCGCGAAATTCACTCATCCATTTGTATAAATAGAGTTATGGCATTATAGCTAATGTCAGTTCTTGATGAAAACCTTAAATTTAATTCTTAACCCTAATCATCAACTGTATATCATCATTCGAATTCCTCACACTAATTCATAACCCTCATTTGTTTTTAATTATCAGGTGAACACTCTCAAGGTCAGTTTAGCGTCGCTCAAGGTCGTCCATAAATTATAGTTTGTATTTTTCCCATTATTGATTTTACGAATTGGAATCGATCAGTTTCGATTATTGGCATGTATATATTCTAGCACTATTTGGTTCAACAGGTAATCAGATAATACGCTGGGCCTTTAAAGTGACGAGACCTGAGTCTGAATTTCAGTATGAACGTTAACACTGGGATGTAAGTATATCCAATTGACAAGTTTAAATAAGATAAAATAAACATCATGCATTTCATCAATAGTCACTATAGAATTTAAATAATGCATAAAAATAATTCATTCTACATTGTCTGGTATTTTGTTTTCAATGACTAACTAAGATATTAGATCTGTAATCAAGAATCATATTGCCCAAGATTTAAATCATACAGTTTAATCATAAATGTGAATGGCAGCCATAAAATAGAATGTTCAAATAATTCTTTAATTCATATCAGAAAGGTTTTTGTGGATATTATAGTAATTTCAATAGATTAGATCATGAGTCAATTGAAGCTAGACCACCATGGAAAACCTGGAAGCATTAGATGACCGTTTCCATAGTGGTTTAGCTTCAATGAACTCATGATCTCATCCACTGAAATCCTCTAATTATTTAAAATATACATTTTTATTTAAAACATTTAATCAATATATAAAAATTATCCATTTAGATCTTAAACTGAACAATATTAGACTATCATGATCTCAATAAAATCCAATAATTTCCAGAATCATATACTGAAAATTATTTAGTTTAAACTTGTAAAAGTTTGTTTTAAATTAAGAAATAGATTTCATAATAACATTGACTTCATTTGATAAATCATACGAATACTAGGTAACATTAAAATGCATTCTTATCTATCAGTGTCTGAAATTGTACTCTCTCTCTCTCTCTCTCTCTCTCTCTGGTATGTCATGAAGGATAGAAACTATTATAAAGTTTCAAACTAGACAATTGTTTCCATACTCTCTCATTTTCACTAGTGTATTCACCAGTTGAAAGTCAATCTGTAATAAACTCTATGTTAAAATCTGACCATATAATCATACTTATAATCTTATGTCTATTTCACATAAATATTTCACGAGTATTTTAAATTTATATCGCTAATGGATCAATGTTAGACAACCAATGAAAACCTAGAAGTACTGGGAGGTTAGTTCGTCCTAGTATGCGACTCATCAGCAGTGCAGGTCCATGATCTCGCACATGAGACTTGAACTTGGGACCTTCGGTCTAGCTCGCGAACGCTTAGTCTCTAGTGAATTGCTTTACGACCAATTTCCTGGAGTTGTAGTGAGCAACCATGACCAGTGGAATTCAACGTTGTCTGTTTGAAAGCAGTTAATCGCTTATGACAATTGTAGACGGTCACACAATATCGTGCATTGGTTGAAGTTAGACATTAACACTGTTTAATAACGGTTCAGTGTTCGCGCGCGAAACTAAATGTCCTAAGTTCGATGTGTATTGCTGAGAAGTCACATACTAGGACGAAATGGCCGATCAATGCTTTTATATTTTCAATGGTCATCTAACACCGGTTCAATTTATACTCAACAACCTCCATTACTCTATACTGATAAATATTTTAAACAAATATCTGATTTATCAGAAGAGTTTTTGTGGAGATTTTAGTCATTTCAATAGTTGAAATCATGAGTCAATTGACGTTAGATCACTATGGAAAACCTGGAAGCGCTAGGTTGCCATTTTGTCCTAGTATGGGACTCCTCAGCAATACGCAACCACAATCTCGCCCCCTGCGAGGTTCGAACCCAGGACCTATTAGTCTCGCGCGAGAGCCCTTAACTATTAGACCATTCAGCTGGTATCCAACGGTGTTAATATCTGATTTACACAATATAATAATTACTATCATTCAGACAAGTTTATGATTTATGAATAAAGTTCATAAGATAGTTTTCGTCATTGATATTTTGTAAGTGATAATAAATAAAAAAATTTATAACACGTGGTAGACAGAATAAATTAATGTACAAACTGGGATAAGTGGCACTTTTTATTTGGAAAATGAAACTTTATCTACACTTCTCATTCTTGTTTGTCTGAAAATTTAAAAAAAAAATTCACTTGTAACTTATCATTCTATAGTCAAACTATATTACTTGTATTTTCATATAGACATGTATAGGCATCATAGCAACTAATTCTTCTATGTATATATATATATAACACATGTAATAGAGGAATTCAATAAAAATGACAAAACAAACATAGATCATAAATTACTATTATTATTATCATTTATCTTCTATTCAATGTGTATATTATTCCTATGTATATACATAGTTAACTATATAGTATTGCATATTAAATGTAATGTTGTATTACTAATCATAACAAAACATTGATAACATAGTAACATGAAAAGAAATGTGATGATATCCATATATTCAAGTTCTCTTTATATATGTAAAGATGATTCTTTGTACTTTTCAAGATTTATTTACGTTATTATAAAAGTAAGCAATAAACCAAATTATTCATTATATTCTATATATTGATATACATGTGTTTATAATAATAATAATAATATTACATTTATTACATACTTACACTTAAAACATATATACATATATTGTTGTTATCATCTTGGTAAATAAACCATAGCAACTATTATTTATTATAAAGTATTATACACTTTTGATATGATCTATACAATAATTTGAAGGGGGAAACAAAATGCCTGTGGCATTTTTGAATGTGTTGATCAATGTTGAATTTTTTCACATGTATTACTTTTTCACTACAATACAAGAGAATGACCAGTAATTGACAGTTATTATCATTGATTTATTTGTATATCATAAAAAAGTCAGGTGGGTGGAATGGGGTGAATAAGTTGAGTAGATTGACAAGAATATCTTTCCGGTTTTATTTGATAATAAGAAATGTGTAAAACACATAGCAATAAACGATACATTGAACTTCACTGTGTGTATGTATTTTTTACTTATTGCTAATGTTAGAGTTGTCAATACAAACACATACACACACAGAGTAGGAGCCAGTTTGAAATGGAACTAACCATTATTATGAATGGATAAATGATTTTATTAAAATAATGAACCGATCTTAATTTGATAACTATTGAAAACATGGAAGCAATAGACACTTGTTTCGTTCTAGTGTAAGATTTTTGAGCAGTGCATGTCCTCAACTCTGCAACTGAGGATTGAACCCAAGATTTTTGGGCTCAAACTTCGTAGTTTTGAGATTAAACATTTACGCAAGAAATCGAAGTTCTTGAATACCATCCATAAGCTATTTATCCTAAAGCAAACGTTAATCAAGTTGTGATATATTTTATAGATAAAATAATCAAAGAGCAGCTCTTAGATTTTTACCCATTTATCATATGCTTATCCATATATCTGCAAAGGGCTTTGATGTTGTAGTTTACATTAGTTTGTGTTAATTCAAAGGACCCTGAACCCCGAATCAAGAACATTGTGGAGTCCATTAAAAATCTTTTTGATTCCTTATAAGGGTTTAAGGAGATGAATAGGCTATAATCATAAAGATGAATTATGTCTCTTTTTTTATTAAATTACACGCATATGAACCTATAGGAGACTTTAATGGATTCATTAAATAAGTAGAATCTGTGTATATTTCTGCAGTTTTATACTCAGTAACGATTAATAATTTTAACAAAAAACCAATAAAAAAAGGATTGAATGAAAAATTTAGTATTCAAAAACCAAAATCTCGTGAATAGCAATCCTTTATTAAAATGAGATCAATGATACCTGATGTTTTATTTAACTGTA